ACCTAGTGAGGTTTAATATACGAGTTGTATCAACAAATTCTGTCTTGGCAAAGATAATGCTCAGTTTGGACACTGTTGAGAAATACTGTATGTTTAATCTTATGCTTGTAGCATTTTAATAAATTAAAATGCTTTTTTTTTTTTTTTAAGGATGTTCAATTTCAGTGTTGTATCCATGGCAACCCAGCAATGAGTCCAAACCATTGCATGCCTCTTTTGGCAAGGAGGTTGCTGAGAAATCAACTGTGATGGAAAAGTCGGATCTGCATACATTTAATCTCTGCCTCTGCTCTTGCGTGAATTTACGAGCGCTAAACAGACACTGGCGTGGACGTATTCAAGCGTCCTTAATGATCTGTGTGCATGTCAGCGTGATGCAGTGCACAAGGAGATTAATCTGGGCAAATCAACGCTAGTGTGTGTCTTTGTACGTGGATGACAGGCTGCCGGGAGCGCAGGCAACACCATCAGAAATTTAACAGGATGGCGTTCTGAGTCAGCAAACCGGAGGGGATCTGAGTCAACTCACAACTGGTGCTTGGTGTCCCTTGTGTGTTTGTCGATGCGTGCGTGTGTACCAGCCAAGTGGTGGCGTGTGTGTGTGAGAGGGGCCACATGTCCGCGTCGGACATGTGGAGATGTGAAATGGCAAAGGGTGACTGTGAGGATGAAGACGATGATGTGCAAGAGGATGTGTTAAATGACCACCAGAGTTTATTTTGTGTCAGAATGAGGACCCACCACAAAGGCTGGCGGGGTGGTGGGTGCCTTGGCTCAATAAGGGTCACGAAATAATGCAAAAAATAATAATAATAATAAAAAGGATTTTATAACTGAGCTTTACAAATGTTCAACATGCGCACCCCCGTAACTAGACCTGCTCTCCAGTTGGTACATTTTTATTTTGCGGAATTTCCTGGAAAAGGCACACTGCACACTTTAGTTTGATTGTGATGGAACATCATGTCACAAGCTTTTTCATTACCAGTGAATGTTATTCTTCACCCTGAATCAAAAGTAAAACAGCAAACTAACACACACAAAAAAAACCTGTTGAACATTAAACCCATCTCATTAAAATTTGAGATAAATTGAGCGAGAATTGACTAATGACTTTTTTTTTCTCGACATAATTACCTATTCTTCATTCTACTGCCTCGCAGGGAGGGAAGGCAGGGCTCAATTTGAGCATCCACTTTTGTTAGCGAATATAGTTGTTGCCCATTAAAAAGTATTAACGACAGACATTACTACTCGATACTTGTGAAAGGAAGTTTAGCAATCATGGCAGATGAAAGAAAACGAAGAAAAGATGTTGATATCAACTTCCCATCCTGCTCTCTGCGGCTCCGTGGATTAACTGGTTTGAGAGTAGGGTGTTGAAAGGAACATGACCCACTAATTCAAACAGAGTCAGAAGAGCAAGGAGAGAAAATATGCCCTTAAGGCCTTGGTACATATTTGGACAGACAAATAGAGGAATCTGCTCGCCAACTCTATGAACCAAAACTCAGTCAGCCTTGAGTGGCTGCCGTCTATTTCAATATGCTACGCGCAGTATGCACAAGGCCTTAAACATGTCACCGTCTCTTACGTCTGCTCAAATCAGGTCCAACAGCTGTGACATATTTCAATCATAAATATGTGAACAGCGGGCATCAAATCGTCGAAACGATTGTATTTTTTTGCTAAATACTCTACTCCCACCGGGCGGGTGTGGGGCACGTAAATGATTAGTGGGGTGGGCTGGGGCGGCAAATCACGGCGCGGATGTCCTGCCACAATCTCGAGAGTCTAGTGTGCGACTATGCCACCGCGTTTGAACGGATTGAAAGGATCTGCTTAGTCATGCTTGAAATCACCTGTGACCACACCCACAGCGGCGCAGCCCCTCTCTCGCAGATCCGCCAGCCTGCGCTCTTCTGCAAAATTTCCGACATTGGGTCTAATCTGCCTCTGCGCATCCCTCTGCCATGCTCCACACCAAGATTTACACCGCTCACGAAAAACTAGAGCTGTTAGTCTTCAAAAACACAACTTGGCTTTGTCTTTAGGCTTTTTCAACCACACCATTTTATGGGCTGAGTGATGCAACACCCAATACCTTTGAGAACAACACCCAAATGTATTTTTTATGTGGGAAAACTCAGTAGTGGTTGTTTTCTGAAGCCTCATACTGTGTGGACAAAAATGATCATCAAATTCCACACTGTCTGGCAAGTGATAAGTGCTAATTAGCATTAGCAAGAATGTAGGATTACAAGTTAAAATGATGAGAATAAATGCGCTGTTAACTTTTTTAAGTGCCGTTTTGGTTTTGGGAGAGGTGAAGAGCAAAATACTTGTTGGCAGCAGCAGAAAAGAGAACTCGCTTCATCACTGCTCTTTCTTGGCTGAAAATGAAAGGTTTTTAAAATCTGAAAGTGCCATTTATGCTGTGAGCAGTGATTAAAAAAAGGACTGCTTCCAACGGCTGACTCATACGCCTAAATTGCCCACATTATTATTGTTGTTGGCATTTTGATAACAAAAAAACTAAATTAAGCCTCCTCATCAAGACCTTACACCTTCTCATATTCCAGATTCCTCACACACACTTACCCCCCCCCCCCCAAATTTAAGTTGATTTAAAACTCCACATTGTCCACGGGTGCAAATGTGTTTTTGTGAATCAGTATTGTGATTGACAGGTCATCTTTCCATGATGTACGCCACCTCTCACCCTAACTCAGCTGGGATGTGACACATGACCCTGCAAAGCATGACGGATTGATGGATTTTTCAGTGCGAGCCATCACAATGAGAATGGTCTTATTTTGTCAAGATTGTTTGTTTTAGGACATGCAGCATGATGAGATACGATAGACTTTGTTTTTGGAAAGAAATATTGGGTTCAGAGATTACATCAGGCCGTTGAAGGGGTTACTTAGTGGGCATTAGTCAGATAATGGTTTCAAGGTAGACAGTGGTTTAAAAGTAAGTAGCTTTTAAAACCTCTAGAGTTTTCTGTAAGCGGTATGATAAGCTTTTTTTTAGGCGTTTAATGGAAGGAAACAGTTATTTTACCCAAAAATTATACATTCTAGAGCTGCAATTGCATTGCATACACAACATCCATCCAATATGCCGCAAAGTCACACACCAAGGCCATGAGAACAAACAGTTATCAAGAGACCTCAGCACTTCACGAGGGTTCAAATAAACCAACATTTTTCTTTTTTTAATTTTTGTAACTTTCGGTCCTAAAACAGAACATCCTAAAAGGCATATTCAAAATAATCAAGTGCATAAAGAATATATGCAGGAAGTTCCAGATTTGCATTCAAGTCAATAAGACTTCATTCATTCATTTAAAAGGTCTAGCTGGAATCTGCCCTTTTTTCCCTTATTGTCCTTTAGTGCAGTTATGATTTAGCCTTTGTCGAACAATGAGTGTTTGCATGTGCTAAATAGTTTCAGTGCTGTATTCAAGCTGCAAAGTTTTTTTTTTTTTTTTGATGAATCACCACCCATTTGTTTTTCCTATGCTATCCAACAAATTGAAGACACGCTGGGGAGGTCAGGCAGCAGGTGTTCTCCATCATCTATTGTTGGTCTTTATGAAACCCAACGTGATTGGTACAGTGGCAAGCCTGAGAGAATGAATGTCAACTTTTTAACTGTGGACGGGTGCGCAATTTCCAGTAGTTAATAATACAGAATTTTTTCCAACACAAGAACTTCATCCAATAGTTTTTGTCTTTACAAAGATAATGCTGCTCATTTCTTACCATGACTTTCTATTTCAACGGCCTGTATGTTTATAATTGTGGTGGCAGGTTGTACAAAGTGGAAGGCCAAGACAGACAGCGATGATCAGGGGCGAGTCAAACCAAGCAAACCGGACAAAATGAAGAAAAACAAATCCATCGGTGGGGTGTGGTTGCTGCCCGTGGGACCACTTCGCTCGCACAAGGCAAGTGAAATGTCACTCACTGCTTTGCAACGAGTTTTCGTGAGTCTTGCCACGATTTGAAATTTGATTTGCACTGCGTTGCAACGCTGCAGATGTAACAGATAAGCAAAAAAATGCCATGAGCTATCACAAGAAAATTACATTTTCGTGTGTGTGTGTGTGTGTGAGTATATTTAAAAAAAAAAAAAAATCAAGGCAACACTTAAACAGCTCAATGTAACTCCAAGTCTTCCTTTTATTTTTTGGAGCAGTTTATAGACACACGTTTTGCTTTATCACTATACTTCCAGTGTCATTTTTATTATTAAATATGACTCTTATAATATACTGTAGCTAGAATCGGTATCATCGTTGACAATCGCACCAAGGTGTTTGCAGTTCAATGAAACAAAACAATAAAGCACATTATACAGTAGGTGGCACCTCAAAGCATAACTTCCAGATAAAAAAAAAACAAAAAAAACACGCGTTGCAGTTTTTCCATTGTGGCGAGTTGGTAGGTGCGCAAGGGTCAATCGCCTGGTGCGTGGGCGTGAGTGGCTGACTGAATTGTGAAAATGAATTGTGTTAGCCTCGGTCAGTGAATGTTGTCGTACCTTCACTACAAAAAGCTCAACTTTTGCAATTGAAAGAGAGAACAGTTGCCTTGTGAAGCTTGTTGATGTTTTCGGCATTTCTCTTCCATTAGCTTCAGGTGTTTTGTTCATGTTTATTGTGCTTCTCTACTTTTGTTCTCCTTCTGTTTCAGAACTTTGGATTTGGACCTTGACTATTGTCAACAAATCTTGAAAAAGGAGAAAACCGACAATGAATACAACCCGCTCGCAATTATCGCCAGCTTTGCAAAAGCCAGGCACTTTCTTTATCTAGTTGTCCAGAATCTTTTTAAATGGGATGCCGTTAACAAGCCTCACTGTGACAGAGTCCATTTTACATAAAACTACCCCTCCTTGCCCATCTCTCCACGCTTGATCTCCCTTCCTCTCTTAATCTTTCACTCTCCTCCAACTGCCACAGCACCCTTTGATATGTTGCATTCACCCACCTCTCACTTTCCATGTTCCTTTCAACTTCAGTGACTCAGCGAGTTCTTCTCCACCATTTCCCGCTCATCCGTTTCTCGGTCAGGTCATCATGTTCTCACGCCGGAGGAAGACGTCACCTCTGACACGGCCATCAGCAAGAACCTCGGAAAGAAGCAAGCAACTCATCAATAATGATACACTGACTGAGCTCACTCACTGAGCACCTGCGCCAAACATTGATACTATCTTTCAACGTTTAAACGCACACTTTTAATGGTTCTGTTATTCATGTGGTTACCACTCACAACAGAATCAAGGATTAGTGTTTGCATAACATGTCTCCCAGGTCACGTATCACATTAAAAATGACTTGAACCGTTTAGAACGGCAGTGTAGCTCATTAGTTAAGCTAGCAGTTAGCATACATCTCCTGTTTTGTACTTCCCGGCTGTCTGGATGGCCCTCTGCCCCCTCTGACAAGTCTGTCCCGGTACGAAGGCAGACATCTGGTTTGGGGAAGGAGACTCACAACTCTCGGTGGAAATATCTGTGTGTGTGTGTGTGTGTGTGTGTGTGTGTGTGTTGTCGTGGTAGTGTTACATTACACACTATAAGTGCAAGAAAGACACGCTTGTCAACGCGTGTGAATGCTCTCACATTTTGGAGCTCGCTTGAACACAGTCAAACAAACAGACTGCAATCGCACCTTGCTCCGCCTTTACACTGCCATCAACGCTCAAGAGACGAGTCACGTGAGTAGTAATTAGGCTCGAGACAAACTGAACCCTCGTTGCACAAATGGTGACGCGCACAAAATGCTAACAGTTTCATGTTTTTTTTTTTTTTTTTTTTTCAGAAAAGGGCCAAAAAAAAAATTACTTTTTGCACAACCGAACTTCCAACATTG